AAGATTTCAATATAAATCTAATTACATTTTAGAAATGGATTGAGCATTCAAAGTAAGGCTTACGAGGATATGTGATGTGGTTCACACCTGTGTTAGTGACCCTTTATTTTTGGGGCATGACATGACTATAAAGAATGAATTATGTGGATTCAAAAAGTGTTCATGGAACTATTTTGTGTATTAAAGAATTTGGCTTAGTAAATTAGTACCCTATGTGGAATGTTGAAAACTAATTAAGGAAATCTCATTGTGTAGGTTGAGCATTTGAGAAGTAGCTTGTAAGAATCTGCACCCTTGGGAGTCGAATGTGAGAATGGTAACCATTGATACTGGAGTAACTTTTTTTATTTATTGGTTTGTGAAATTATTTACAAGTATTTTATATAATTATATGCTTTATGTTTTATGAACTAATAGAGTAGCAGAATTGTGAAAGAAATATACATGCGAGTGGGTGAGTGATGTTTGTAATGTATGTGAAAAGGTATATGCATTTACATCCACCAATGTACCCTAGACTAAGATAGGGAGTCGCAGTCGGAAATCCTGAAGGTATTGAGCTTAGAGCTTTTTTCACCACAAAGGACCTAAGAGAATTATCCACGAGTTTACTCTAGACTAAGGTAGGGGGTCTTGGCCCTACTCTGTCTAAGGCTAGGAAATCCTGACAGTGAAAGTGTTGAGTATGCTCCTCTAGTGGAGACTTAAAAGACCACCCATATTGATTATACTTGGTCTGAGATAATAGCTCAGTGAGCTCCATTTCATGTAAGGTTAAAAGTCCTAGTTCAAGCATTGAGCTTACTCCACTAGGGGGAAACCAAGAATATATATGCATAGTAGTGAATGAGAATGATGTTGTGTGTATGCATATTTATGCTGTTTTATTAAAATGATACTACTTTATCTCTTGTTTATGATTTTACTTACTAACCGGTATTTAGAGATAGGGGTCAAATTGTGTATCTGATATGATATATGTGTATAATGTGCCAATCAAGTGTATGTGGTCTTTTTGGACTTAGGCCTAATGTGGTCTAATGCGACAAGGGATAAAAATTAAGCATTTAAGATGCCAAATTTTGAAAGAAAATAGCTTTTTACACCCAATTTTCAATTTAATATCACACCTTTTTACACCCAATAATTACTAATTTAATTTTATTAATTAAATCATAGGTTCACTGCTGACTTTTTTATCATTAGAAATTTATTTACAAATTTAATACATATTATTTTTACCATGATCTTTCAAAACATAAAAATATTATTCTATATTACACCTTATCTAAATTTTTAAAATTTAAAATTATATACCCCCACTCATATTTTTTAACTGTAGGCTCACAAACTACTTCTTTAAACCATATTACTTTAATTTTAAGGAAATCAAGTTTACTAAAATCTCACATTTTCTCCATTCCTATTAGATCCTCAATTTATATCAATTTTAAAATATATAAACATATAAAAAACCTATAACTAAGCCCAACTCTTGCACCTCTAGCTTTTAAATTTATTTAGGTTAGTTTAACTATTTCAAATTTTTGAAAATTATTTTATTTTATTTTTCTCTTTATTGAGTCCAGAAACTATGTTTTTGAATTTTTTTGGCCAATTTATATATTAAACATTTTAAAAAAGTTACAAAATTAATTTTTTGACAATTTAAATGATTTTTAGATATTATTTATATTTAAATATGACCATTTTAGTTCAACACATATGACTTAATGGTCAATTAATGGATAGATGGATGAAAATAAAAACTTAAAAATTAATAACAAATTTTAAAAATTTTATATTCACCACCAATTTTTACCATGAATTCCACATGATCTTTCAAAATATAAAAATCTTCATATTTTTTACACATTGTTTAAATTTTTTAAACTTGTAAAAATGTTGGTCTCACACTCACATTTTTTTAATCGTAGATCATATATTTACTCTTTTATTGAGTCCCACAATTATACTATTTATTTTCTTTAACAAAATCATCCATGAACTAATTTAAAGAATTTTTTAAAAAATAATTACTAATTTAATTTTATTAATTAAATTATAGATCTGTCGCCCACTTTTTTATTATTAGAAATTTCTTTAAACACCTAACACTAATTATTTTTGCTATGATCTTTCAAATATAAAAATAATATTATATCTTATACCTTTGTCTAAATTTTTAAAATTTATAATTATATGCCCCCATTCACATTTTTTAACTATAGGCCCACACACCACTTCTTTAAAACACACTACTTTAATTTTTTAAGAAAATCAAGTTTATTAAAATCTCACATTCTTTCCATTCCCTTTAATTCATACTGATTTTAAAATATATAAACATATAAAAGAATGTATAGTCGAGCCCAACTCTTACCCATCTAGTTTTTAAATTTATTTAAGTTGGTTTATCTACTCCAAATTTTTAAAAATTATTTTAATTTATTTTTTTCTTTATTGAGTCTAGAAACCGTGTTTTTGAATTCTTTTTGGGCCAATTTATATATTTAACTTTTTAAAAAAGTTAAAAAATTATTTTTTGATAATTTAAATAATTTTTAGATAATATTTATATTTAAATATGAGTATTTTAGTTCAACACATATAACTTAATGGTCAACTAATGGTTAGGTGGATAAAAATAAAATCTTAAAAAGTGGTGTGTGGATCGATAGCTAAAAAAATGTGAGTGGAAACATATAATTTTAAACTTTAAAAATTTAGATAAGGTGTAAAATATAATAATATTTTTATATTTTGAAATATCATGGTAAAAACAATAGGTGTTAGATATGTAAAGAAATTTCTAATGATAAAAAAGTGGGTGACAAACTTATAATTTAATTAATAAAATTAAATTAATAATTATTTAAAAAATAATTTTTTAAAATTAGTTAATGGATGATCTTATTAAAGAAAATAAATAGTATAGTTGTGGGACTCAATAAAAAAGTAAATATATGATCTACTATTAAAAAATGTGAGTGTGGGACCAACATTCATAAAAGTTAAAAATTTAGAGAATGTGTAAAAATATGAAGATTTTTATATCTTAAAAATCATGTAAAATTCATGGTAAAAATTAGTGATGAATATAAAATTTTTAAAATTTGTTACTATCTATATTAGAAAATAAAATCTTAAATATAGAAGGGAGGCTTGTATTTTATAACTATCTATATTAGAAGAAAAAATGTTCATATAGGTTTTCAAAAATAGAAGACATGTATCATTAATTAAGATAAAACAAAGGAAATGTCAAAATATTTTACTCATTTTTAATTATAAGTTTCACATTAACAATTTAATTTTTCTTAGGTCTCACATATAAAAAAATTTATAATCAAATTTGACTCTTGACACTTCTAGTTTTAGAATTTATTTAGGCTAACTTAACAACTCTAAATTATTTTATTTTATTTTTCTCTTTATTAAGTTCATGAACTGCATTTTTGAATATATTTTTTGACCCATTTATATATTTAATTTTTAAAAATTTACAAAATAAATAAAATTAGATAATAAAAAATTATTATTTGCTAATTTAAATAATTTTTAGGCAACATTTATATTTAAATAGATATATTTTAGTTCAATATATGTGACTTAACAATCAACTAATAATTAGATGAATTAAAAATAAAATCTTAAAAATAAAAGAAAAGTTTGTATTTTATAATTATTCATACTAAAAAATATTCATATAGGTTTTAAAAAATATAAGAGAAGTATCATTAATTAAGATAAAAATAGATAATATATTTTACTCATTTTTAATTGCATATCCCACATGTATCTCCTACCCAATTTATTCTTTTCCTTTTTTATTTATTATAAAACATTAAAAAATTAACAAATAAATTTTAAAAAAAAAGTTGGATGAGTACTATAGATTCATAACAAATTTTAAAAAGATCACGGATGGGTACAGACAATAACAAAAAAAAAAAGAAAAGAAAAACTGACAACAAAACCAAAAAAGTTAGGTGGGTATTGCAGACCTACAGTACCCACCTGATCGTGTTTACATAATATTATAGATTATAAATATAGATTATAAATTTTTAGAAGTGATTTAATATCCAAAAATATAAGATATTTTAGAAAAAATACCCTTCATTAAATGTTGAAAAAAAAAAATATGTTATTAAATTATGTATATTTAATAGGGGTAAAGTTAACAACTTCTTAAAATTTAAGATAAAGTTAATGAGTTTTAAAATTTTCCTTGATACTAGTAAAACATGTTGGAAGTGACTTATAAATAAAATTAAAATATTAAAGTTTTATTAATGGTGATTACTTCAATCTGACCCATCATTATTTCACTCATTGAATAAATTTCTTGCCCTCCCTCTCTTATTTATGAAGGATAATTTAAAAAGTTTATAAAAAATTAAAATTATAAAATATATTTAATTAACTTCATTCACATGTATAATTTTACTAAAAAAATTACAAATTAATTCGGGCTTTTTGGTAAAGTTGCAACGCCTGCCACCGCGTCCCTGTTAGTCCAAACAGTTAAAAACAAAAAAACAAAAACGGTAGAAAAGGTTGGAGGCTTCAATTTCCCCATAGTAAATGTATTTGACAGGCAAGAAACCAACCTTTTGGCTTGACCATAAGAGGAAAGCCCCATCATTTGCCGAGCGCATTTCATATCTCTCTCCCCCAAGCAAATTCATTGGATGGTGTTTTGTGGGGGCTAGTGCCTGCCACCGTGTCCCTGCTAAGCCCACAAAAGGAAAGAAAACGAAATAAGCAACATCGCTCGATAACAGGTAATTCATTTTTTTAATGCAAAAAATCTTACCTTACCTCCCACTTGCCTCGTCCTCTGTCTTTCTCCCTCTCTCTCTAATTGTTAGGTGGGGTTCATTGGTTCAAGGTCATCACTACTATACATACTAGTACTATCGGCTAAACTTTCTTTCCAGCTAGGGTTGATTACGGATTCTTGGTAAGCATCGTCCTCTCTCTTACATTTCCTCTTTTAGACAGTAATAATGCTTCCTCCAACTAGTTTCTTTCCTCCTTTTGTTTTCCTGCAATAGTATCCCCCCCTTCTCTCTCTATATCTCTTTACTCTCCCCTTTCTTCATGCTCCTGGTTTAATCCTCAATATTTTGGTTTTTGACGGTACAAGATTCATCAGGTTGTTCTGATTAGAAGCCATCTTTCTTCAAGGTTTCTCTTTTGATTTTCTTGTCTTCATTTATGACGAATATAATTTTCTGTATTACTTTAATTAGATCTGATGTTGATTTCCTACTTCTGTTTTGGGAAAGTAGATGAGTCAACGTCCTTCCTATTTTCGCCGGCAGGAAACTGATTTTTCTACAAATTTTTGTGTATGATTTCATCTCCTTCAAAGGGTACATTTCATCGGTAATTTTTACTTTTCAGAGACAGGATGAGATAAGAAATATTTATTATTATTATTTTTTCCCATTTCTGATCCCTAATTTCTGGGTATCCTTTTGCTTAATAAGGAAATGACTAGACAAAAGATAGAAATAAAGAAGATCGATAACGTAACAGCGAGGCAGGTGACATTTTCAAAGAGAAGAAGAGGACTATTCAAGAAGGCTCTTGAACTCTCCACTCTCTGTGATGCTGAGATTGCTCTCATAGTCTTTTCTTCTAGTGGCAAGCTCTTCGAATATGGTAGCTCAAGGTCTCCCCTCTCTCCTTCTGTTTTACTTTCCTTAACTTTCTACTCATGAAGATAAAATTTGTTGTATTCTTTTCTATATATCTTTCTCTTCCTTGATGTTATGTGATGATGATACTTCAATGCTTTTGCCAGTGAATTATTTATTGAATACATGGTCTCATACATACATACATACATATGCAAGATCTGTAATCATGTACTTGTGCTTATTATTTTAATTTTATTTTGAACTCATTGTTCTAGAGAAGCATAAGAGGATGGTTTAGGCGTGCTAGCTAGCTGCAGAATCACTGTTTTCGATCCTCCTGGATTTGATAACTCTCTCATTTCAGAAAATGATGACTATAGTTAACTTGGCTGTCTTGCTTTGTTGTACTTAGCTTGTTTTTTCCCCACCTAAAAAGGTCCACTTCCCTATTTATTCTGATTCTTGAATGTATACTTATAAAGAATGTCTTTTTTTTTCCCCGTCATGACGTAAAATGAATGGCTTTCTAAAATAATTATTTAATTTGTTGTTATTTTGATATATAACTGCAAAGGTAATACCAATATGATGTCATGTTACACTTCATTTCATGTTCAATATATGCCCTTATACCATACAAGTGGATGTTTTATTTTAGAAAATGACTTCTTTTTGACTATTTAAAGATTTACTACATTTGCAACTGAAAAATATACATGTATATATATACTACATCTAGTTGCTTAAGAAAAGAGAGGATTCAGATCCTCTGAATTTGGTCTCTATCAAGTTTCATAGGGTTAGATGTTTTGATCATTTTTCTTTCTTCCCCCTTTTCTAATTGGACCAACCTTTCCACCAATAACTCATCCATTATACAACTTCAGAGGATCACAACGCAGAAAAAGATGTACATAGAGTAATATATCAAAACTGCCACTTTGAATTATAACATTGGAGAATATTCAGTCTTTTTCATGTCCAAGGATAATTAATAGTCAGATTTAACACACTAGCTAAATGATGAACATTGAAGTCTTTATGCTTACTGACAGGTTACTATTCATTCCTGCAGACTAGTTTAAACTTTACCATGTTAAAATTGATTATTATGAACATGGAAACATTCCAAAAAGTAATGAAACACTTTAGATCAGATTATATACATAGCGTCACTTGTAAGTGTTTTCTCTCTAAATGAAGTTTACTTAACATCCTTTGTGCATATTTACATGCACTATTCAGGATACTAACTCTTCTTGATTATATATGGCATAAAAATGGAGGAGGATAAACAAACACAAATAGTTAGAAACGAGTTTAATTAAAATTTTGTAAGGTTGTTTTTAGAAATGCTTTTCCTATACATTTTACCTTTGGGGTTGACAATCTCCATATTGGTATAGTGATTAGGTGCTTTTCACTCTTTCAGTGAGACGTAAAATGTTACAAGAATGTTTTGATTAATTTCATCTTAAAGACACAATTAATTCATGAGATTTACATCACTTCTCAACAAGACTAGTTGTAGGAGTTACCATGCACTTCATAGAATGCAAAGATAAACTTAGAAATTTCCAAGATGATTAATCATTTTACGTCAAGTCGGTTAGAGTAGTGCTTCTCTAAGTTGAAGTCTCATATTAGCTGAGAGTTCAAGATGAACGGTGAGAACTTTTCTTATAAATAAATGCCTTAAGAATCTTTTTTTTTTTTTCATCATTATAGAAAGTTCAATTGTAAGATTATTAATCAAGGTATTGAATAGTCGTGATCAAGTCATTTTGGCATCACATTCAAGTATAGGATTATGAGTGTAACAAGGATCTTAGGTAGTATTTTTGTGTGATGAGGGTTTTAGAATTATTCAAGCTTGTATGAGTAAATTTTTTTTCCCGTTCAAATATTTTAGAGTTGTAAAAATGTGGAGTTATTCCTTTTTTAGTCATAATTAAATATAGGTTTATTTGAGACCTATTGGTTGTCCCCCCACCCTTTTTGCTTTGACACGTGAGCTCCTAACAAATAGTATTTCAATGCCACGAAAACCATTTTAGGAAGAGAACTATATAAGATAGAATCAACGGACTGAGAGATTCTTGGGGTTGAATAAAGATGACATACTCACTTGAGAGTCAAATGTTTTTTTATCCCCTAAAAAAATAGAGGTGTTTTAGAACTTACGAGAAAGAGAATTTTTTTTTTTTGGCTAATATTGTTTCTTTGTCCACATCCGGAAGGAGATTAAGAGGATCAAGTGAGAGCTTCCAGTAGATAGGTTATCCCTTAATTATTTTTTGTTATGTAAGTGGTCCGTTCATAGAAATTAATTAGTCAAGATAAGTAGGGTATCATATAGTTGAATTTGATTCTAGTCAGTCAGGATTGTCGAATGCCTATTACTGTATAAATGTAATAATAGATATAAATATTTGAAACTTTCATGTCTATGTATACCAAAACCATGTATGTAAAGAATGATTCTTGAGTTTGAGTCATGTGTATAAAGAAAAATTTGTTATGAGCACAAATTCAAGGAGAATCTATCCCATAATAATACCAGCTTGTTGGGTGGGAGAGCATCTCCCACTTATAAACCCCTTTTACTTGTGAAGCTCCTCATTGTGGCACTCTCAACAATATGCTATCCTGTCCGAGAGTTGTTGTCAAAACCCTCTATGGGTAGCCCTCTTCATGAGATTGGCCTCTCAACAAGAGCACTAATGTTATGAACACAAGTTTAAAGGAAGAGTCTATTTCAAAATACTAGCCTATTGGGTGAGAGAGCACCTCACACTTATAAACCCCATTTCACAACTCTGAGGCTCCCTATGTTAGACTCAAAAAAAAAAAAAAAAAAGTTGTCACTAGGAGTTTGGTCTGTCCTGGCTGGAACCAGATGAGTGAGGGCATGATACAGATTTCAGAAACCGGTGAGTAAAAAAAACCAACAACAGATTAATTTAATCAAAGAGGGTGGATATAGATATGTAATATGATATTACCGTCATAGTATAAGAATTTTATTGTTATATTAGAGAAAGTGCAAGATTTCATTAACATGTTTTGTGCAAATTCGAAGGCAGAAAAATTTGAATAACCCACTTTTTTTCCTTCATATAGTGTGCAGCAGGTTATTGAAAGGCGTCGTCTGCTCTCAGATGAAAGATTAGACCATCCTTCTATTGAGGTGATAAGATCATTACACGCACGTATTTTATTTCAAGTCACTTGGTCAAAAATATATATATATATATATATATCTCAATCTTTTCTTTTAATTTAATAAATCATTTTTGGGAATTGTCCTGACAGGTTCCTGCCGCCCATTGATAAAACATTAACTTAATTCCACTCTCTTGGATTTCACAGAATTCAGCTTTATTGACTATTAGTTAATTATTGCGTGGATGATTCCCTTTTCTAAGTAATATAACCAATTAAATTAAATTATGATCTATTAAGGTAGCAATATTGATAATATATTTGTAATTTTTTAAGCTGCTTCTGCGATTGACTTAGCTATTTCATTATTTTCTCATTAATTTCCAAAAATGTGCCCTGGCCCGAACTTTTAAAGGGTTCAACTGTAGCGAGAAACTTCACTGTGATTTCTCAAGCCACTGTTGAATCATCTGCACTGAACTAATGGTTTAAACCACAACTAAGTCTTAGTTTCAATCAGTAATATTCATTCAATACAAAATATAAAAGGTATTGGGAACTTCATGATTCAAAACAATAATGAAGGGGATGACTTATCTTGAATTCCACGAAAATGCACAGGGCCTATTCTAGTTATATGTATAAGATATTGTTTCAATAATGTGTTGTCTTGATGACATAAATATTTACTCTAGTCCTAATTGTAAGGCAAAATTTTAAAAATTCTATTTGGTCCTAAATATAGGGTAAAGATGTACTAGTTAATTTTTTTTTTTTCAATATTGCCCTTCTTTTATAATTGCACCAAGTTTTAATCTATAGACACATTTTACTGTGGTCATTAATTTTAGTGAAAGGCAAAATTAAAAAGTCAAATATTTTTAACTAGTTTAAGGATATTAACTACCATTAAAAATCATGAAGTTAGTTAACTTTATCCTATAATTAGGACCAGAGGGAGTAGGTTATTATACAAATGAGGTGGTATCATATATATGTATTCAGTACTAGAAAATTTTTCCTCCACATACAGGCCTCTGCCTATGGTTTGCAATTAAATAAGTCTACCTCATAGATAAAAATGCTGGCAAAAAAGCAAGAGAGAGAGATCAGGTTGTATATATGGAGAGAATGGTGTGTGTTTCACTTTGCTTCACCAAAGATTCAATAGTAATTAATCAAATTTTACATGTAGTTGACAGGGACACCCTCAGCATGCTCAGCAAGGAAGAAGCCAATAAGGTTCAGGAGCTGAGGTGGGGGGGTGTTTGTGTGCTGTGAGTTTTTCCTACAATATAGTGTTTATTACTGAGGGATGACTATATGTCCCTTATGATTGAAAGGCAGTTGAATGGGGAAGAGCTTGAAGGATTGGACACAAAGGAATTACAGAAGCTTGAAGAACAATTAGAAAAAGGTTTGAGCCGTGTTGTCAAAGCAAAGGTTTGCATTGTCTTGTCCACTTCTATATTTGCATATATACTTATTTGTTTGTATCTTCGTTGAGGCAAAGAAAAGAAGAAGAGAAAAGAAGAAAGAAAGAGAATAATTTTTGGGTCATTTTACAGACAGTCTTTCAAACTCTGAAAACATGAAGATAACTCATCTCCCAACTTTGTTATGCCTCATGATACTTCAATTATATGAACTAGTAGCATTATGGAAGAACCTATCCTGGACCTACTTTTCAGTTTGAAAAGTACTTCGGAAGCAATTAGGAGGTTTTTGAATTGTGGGGTTGACTATTTTGGGAATTACATTACTCCCTTAAACTACTCCATCCAAATACGCTCTAATTAATAGCAAAGCTTCAACGATTGTTTTCCTGGAACCACTTATTGCTGCTATGCATAAATTATTGTAACTAATATGAGTAGGTGGTTCTTTGTGATTTGCAGGATGAAATGATGTTGAAAGAGATCCGTGCGCTCAAGATAAAGGTCAATCACGTTCGAAACTTAATTGTTGAAATCTCATTTATGTTTTGTTTAGTTACACGTTCTTGAAACTTGAAAAGAAAATTATCATCATCAAAAACTTTCCTTCCCTTTCCCATTCATACATGTAGAATTTGAATCATTTTTCCATTTTGTGTTCTTGAATCGAGGATAGTGATGTTCTCAATTTGAATCCAAGACACTTGTAAATGCCAACAAATTCAGTGTAATTAGCAGCAAAACTAAATTGGACCATAAAATATCTGATAGAAATTAAAGAGGGAATTAATGTTGTTTTTGGCCTCCCAAAGATATGTCTCAATGTTTGGTCCCTTAATCTTAAATAAAACTATTTATCAATTTCTTGAATTAAGAATATATACTTGGTCTTCAAACCTTACAACTACATGATTCTGCTACTAAATATTTGACTGAATTAAAATAAAAAGGGATAATGAAATTCTTGGTTCTTCAAGTTTGCCTTAGTTATCAATTTGGCACTTGAAGTTTTATCTATATTAATTAAGTCCTTAAAGTTTCATAAGTATACGCAATTAGCCCTTATAGTATTATTTCCCCTTCAAACCATAGGGACTTGTTGTGAATGATTATGACACTTTAGGGACTTGATTTTAAAATTTAAACTTTAAGGACCAAGTCAATAATTAAGACAATTTCGAGGGATCAAAAGTTGCATTATCAATTTGACTGAATTAAAATAAAAAGGGATAATGAAATTCTTGGTTCTTCAAGTTTGCCTTAGTTATCAATTTGGCACTTGAAGTTTTATCTATATTAATTAAGTCCTTAAAGTTTCATAAGTATACGCAATTAGCCCTTATAGTATTATTTCCCCTTCAAACCATAGGGACTTGTTGTGAATGATTATGACACTTTAGGGACTTGATTTTAAAATTTAAACTTTAAGGACCAAGTCAATAATTAAGACAATTTTGAGGGATCAAAAGTTGCATTATCTCAAGTGAAAATATCCATTAAAATATGCACTATATGGACTAGAATAGCAAGTCTAAGACTTCTATGGATTGAATGGTGTATTCGTTGCGCGCGCGCATTCATTATTTAGTCCATAAGTATTAAAACTACATCATATCTAGCTTTCACGTACCCTCACTTCTCTTAAAATGCTACTTGTTTTATCTGTGCAGAGAATCCAATTGATGGAAGAGAATCAGCGACTAAAACAGGTAATCAACATTTTGAAGTATTTGCATTTTTAATCATTAATGTCTGTCATTTCTCATGTTTATGAAATTAGACTGGGTATTGAACTGGTTAAGATATTGATTTAAAGTTTATTGCTCTGTTGATGGTTTAACCGCTGTCGAATGAGTCATAATTGAATTAGTTTATTTAAATTATACGTCCTCCGTCACTGTTTACTTGTCCTCATAGGAAAAAATCTATGTGCAATGTAAGAATTATTTTTCTATTCCAGTTTTGCCCTCCACTTAACGGGAGTATTATATAAAACAAATAATTATACCTCAAAATTTGGAACAGGACATATTTAGGGGCAAAATTAAAACGCAAATCAGGACAAGTAAAGAGAGATGGAGGAAATATACATCAATATATATCATATAGGGTAAAATAGCAAATTGGGCTCTAAATTATAGGTCCAAGAATGTCTGAGATCCGAAACTAATTTTGACATGTTCTCTTTCAACTTTTTGAAGCAATGCAATGTAACTTTTACTGTTAAGAAAATTTAGTTTTAACTGGCCTTAGTTAACCAAAAAATGACAGAAAAGGACCTCATAAATTACAAAAAAAAAAAGACCAATAAATTTTTTTGTCCTTTTCTGAATTTATTAGGTTCTTATCCATAATTTTTGGATTTTTTATTGTAACTTTTTGGGTCCATTTTTGTTTGAAGACGGAAAATGAGTGTTTGTTGACATGAGGAAAAGGGCTCCGTTAGAAGCAGTGATTAATTTCCTTTGAATATGACTTTTTTGTTTTTTGTTCGTGGCGCATTTAATGTTGAGAAAGAGGGAAATAAAAGACGGCATCATTCGCGGGAAACAAAAAGAAAGAAACAAATGGTGCTGAGGTATGATTGATTGAAGGCTGAGGATGTGACCAGTTTTGGTTGATCATATTTTTAGACAAATAAATTGCTGTACTGATTGGCTAATCTATCAAACAAAAATTGAAGACTAACATTACATTAAAAATGAGTTTATGGTGCCAGATGCTCATGGATCTATAGTTTTATGAGCCAATTAGTTCTTTTATCCTATGATATATTTTATAAAAAAATCAGTTTTTATCTGTTATTGACCAAATTTGACTGACTATTATATGGAAGCTTTTGAAAGCATTTTAGTTCAGAGTAAGGTCCACATCACTGGTTCTCAAATTACTTAGTTTTAAATAAGAGTCTTATTAAAGATGGAAAATGTGTGTGTTTAGGGGAGGAATGTTTCGCAAGAACAAGGTCAGTCATCTGAGTCAGCCAACATTGGCAGCATATTTGATCCTCCACATGACGATGATAGTTCAGACACTTCTCTCAGATTGGGGTTGGTACATATAACTTGTTTAACTGTCCAATCTTGAATCTTGAGTTTTCTGATAATCAAGCGTAGAATTGTTGTTAATTTCCCATGATACTGACTTGTTTAATTGTTGATGGTATATATAGTAATACACTTCGGTGTTACATGATGGCTTGGTTTTATAGAAATACAAAGTACATTTTAGCACTCAGATCTTCAACAGTTTTGGAGGAGAATTGAAGTCACATGTTAATAAATGAATTTATCTTTGTCAATGTTCTATATTCTCAAATATTGAGCATTGCACGTGTTAATCAATAAGTAATGGGGAAAATTAAAAGTGCATTTTTACCTTTAGGCAGTGTTTGGATTGATGGATTTAAATTTAAATTCTAGATTTAAAATGTTTTGTTTAAATAGTATAAAAAATTTTAAAGTTAAAAGAGAGACAAGTTTAGATTTGAAACGGAAATGGAAGATTGGAAGTCAGAAGTGGAAGTAGTGAGCTTACCTCTATTCTTCAATTGGGGAGAAACAAGAATGAGAGATGAGAGGAAAGACAAGAGTAACAGAGCCACTGATAGTGAAGATACTAGAATTTAAAGGAAATTGAAATTACAAAAAAATTATAATGAAAACTAGGATTTAGATTTGGATTAAATCCCAATCTATAGGCTTTTGAATATCCAAATGAAGGATTTGATTAAATCCAAACCTTAATTCAAATTCTCATGTATCCAACTGTAAAAGTATTTTCAAGAGTTAGGGGGCACTGTAAAGAGAATTGTAGAGCAGTGTAGTATATAATCTCCTGACCTACACTAATGGTTGGTTAACTGTTAACTGTCAAAATCTAACATTGCATTGATTTTGAAATATTACTTGCCACGTGTGTCCCATATATAGCTCCTTTGGGAATACAAAACCACACTTTAACTCAATGTGTGTGGCTGGCAAGAATCAGTTGTACTATGAATTATAGTTTTCTAGGGCTTCTAGTCTATTATAAGCCGTGTACAGTTTTTTCTTTTCAAAGTGCATTTAGTATATGCATCCTTGCATAAATCGAATGAGACTGAATTTATTAGCGCGTGTGTAAAAGGATCAGATGGATACGTGGCATGCATATTCTTAAAGGTTAACTTAAGTTTATTTACTGTCTCTGTTGCAGATTGTCTTTATTTAAATAAACTAAAGATGTGATACACTATGGAGCAGAGCCAGATACTCTGACGTTTTCATTCTTTTTAGGTGAAATTTAACCGTTGTGGGAGTTTTTTCTTCCTGTTATTTCAAAACTTAAGTTTGCTTAATCCATGTAAGTAGGTGTTGCTCACATAAATTGAACAATGAACATATATATATATATATATATATCCGATGATATTTTATACTTGTATTTGAAAATTATGCTTGATCGTCCTTTATACAGATTAGAGTAATAATTAAGAGATTGTTTACAATTTAATCCATTTGGTCAAGCTCACAAGTCATATAAGCACAAATGGGCCTAGTCAACACCCGCTGCAGTTATGTCTTCTTTATATGGGCATAATAAGATGAAATTTAAAATTATGCTCTCTCTATTTAAAAATATAAAGTATTTTTTGAGGAGTTTGATATTAAAAATGTAAGGTATTTTTTATTTTTTGAGGTATAATTATTTTCTTTTTTTTAAAAAAGTATTTTTATTGATAATAATTTTATATTTATTGTAAAGTATTTAATAGAAGTAAATATGTAAAGATAGAATTAGTTGAAAAGTAAGTAACTAATTTATTTGGGAGTGAAATTTAGTTAAAAATACATTACATTTTTTAACGTAGGGAATATGTGTTACTTATTACTGTTTAATTCAATATTTACTGATGTGATGATAAGATAAAATTAAAACATATAATTTTTCATATTGCTTTAATTTATTTGTTAAGTTAAATTGTCCCATGCAATTCACTTGTTCACATACAACATTTAATTATAGTAGACCTTAACAATTATATGATTTTTTGAGTATTTCATATTGGATATTCTTAAGGTAGATTTAAGCAACCTGAGTTCAATTTGGATCAGTTCTAGTGTATTTTAAATTCCAAGTTTTGAACTCTTGAACTTGTTTAATAGGAGGATTAAGTTTTTTTTTTTTAATTTGACTCATTCGTTGACATCAACAATGCTTAATTTGTTGTCCAAAAAACAAAACAGCAAACAAGCATTGTATACAATTTCTAGTAACTAGATTGGCTTTTTATTACATACATTCCTAAGAGAAGCCAAAAACTATAGTGTTGATTAAAATTTTTTACAAGTATTAGGTTTCATGCAAACAATCTAGTAATCATAAGTCATAAAAGTATTTTGAAGTGATATGTCCTTTATTAAAGTTGTTAACTGGATGATTGCCCATGAACAAGTCACCAAAAAGACATACTTCATCAGGTCTAAAATATAAATATTTTTAATAATAATTTGAAAAGCCAAAAAAATTTAAGAAAATGACAATTAAGGATAGTTAAAGGAAATTTATATCAATCAAGAATAAGTTATTGTCAAAATTCAAATGTAAAATAAACTCGAATAAACTGTTATTAATTTAAAATAAGTTGTTAAAACTCAAATGAATACCTATTGATTCATATTAATTTTTTATCAACAAGTATTTATTTAAATTTTGACAACAAGCGATCCTTGACTTATATAATTTTTTTCAGCGTTTTTTTATTGATATTTTCCTATAAAGCTCTTATTTTCATGAAAATATATATTGTTTTTCTTTGTTATTCTTAGTTTTAATTTATGACAAATGAGAAGAAGCCTCTAAATTCACAAACATATGAATTTAAGTTAATAAATGCAAGAGGTAAAATAAAATTTTTTTACAAGTATTAAATTATTTATATGTTGAATTAAAATTAATTAAGACAAAAATATTTATATTTTGGACTGGATGGAATAAATATGAAGATTTCATAATACCAAAAAAAAAATATGAAGATTTTATTAAAATATCCTCGTTTTTTAATTAATTTTTAAAATCTACGTTTTAAGATGATGTTTAACAAGAAGAGTACAGTAATTAATAAAAAAATATTTAAGAAACCACTGGTCACCGGATGGATACGAGTGCCAGATTAGGAATATGCTCTTAAATTTGTTTTCTCGATGAAGCAAAGCCTAGGGCTATGTGCAAAAACATTGAGAAGTACGAGAGTGCACAAATGTCAGAGGCTCAGGCCTGTCATAGAGTCGTGGGTTTCTGTACGGTCTTGGTAAGTGACGTCCACATCAGCACCATCCATGGTCAGACACAACTTCCACTAAATGCAGTCTCCACCTAATCTAAGAACAAAAGTTAGGTTTTCAAACCGGTTAGATTTAGTGAAATGTACCAATTTATCACGACATAACAAAGATTGAAATTCTTGTTTAAAAAAAAATATTTATATTTAATATTTAATTATATTTCAAATAGAACTGTCTCTACAAAGAGTTAGATCTACAAGTTTTTAGAGGAATGAGATTATCATTATGAGAAAAATAATAGAAAAACGCTTTTGAAGATGAGAAGGGAGAATTGATAACATTCTATTGAAATTAATTGATTACTTAAGTAATAATTATAATAATGATATTATGTTGTTTGTAGGGTAGTCCAATCAAGAGTCAAAAGTTGTAAGTAAGGATTGAAAATAAAGTAAAAAAATTTAGGGTAAAAGAATAAAAATATTTATAAAGTAGTTAGCGAGGGGTATTTAATATTCTAAAGTAAGAAAAAAAATAGCCATAACATTACATGAATAGGTGCAAAAATGATTAAACCATTAACCTTGATATAACGCCATTAACTTTGATCGTTAGATGCTAACTGTACATGTCACGTGTTAGTTTTTGCTGACGTGGACTAATAAAGGAGCCAAATACTCACGAGGTCATCAGCTAGAAGCAAAAATACCCATAATGTAACTGGAGTTAGTGCAAAAGTAATGAATCTATCAAATCCCTTAATCATCGACCGCTTAACTGATATCTAAATAGAAGTTAATGATTTTTTTGCTGATGTAGACAAAAAAAAATTCAGATAAATTTTTACAGATGTTAATCAATCATCGCATGAGTATCCATAATGTTACTTTAGTAGATGCAATAGTGATCAATTCATCAAAATTCTTGCCATATGGTTTCTTTCTATTGCCATATATCTCACCTCCTTTCTTCCTCTTTCTCCACTCATTTTTTTTTTTGTCTACAAAACCTAAGATTCAACATAGTGAGATAAGCTGTAATCAATTGAAAATCAAAACTAAGCACACCTCCTATGCCGCCTTTCCTTAAGAACATTGTTACAATCTTAAATGATTTCATTCATGATAAGTTCAAAATTTTTAAATAGTTTTTGCCACTGCTACAAAGAAACAAGTGATTTAATTTGATATTTGGTAAAAATAACATTTTTTTCATATGATATTTATACAATGATCGATTAACCTCTAGAGAATTTCATCTAAGAATATTTGTTTCCACGTCAAAGAAAAAATGATCAACTTCTGCTTAGGTATCAACTAAACGGTCAGCGTTTAAATGATTTGATGGATTGATCACTTTTGTACCAAGTTTGTTAACGTTATGGGTATTTTTACTCCTAGCCGACGATTTCATAAGTATTTTTCTCCTTTTATTAGTCCACATTAATAAAAAATGATACGTGGCATGCAGTCAACATTTAACAGTCAAAGTTAATGGTTTAGTCACTTTTATACTAATCATGCAATGTTATAGATATTTGTGTCCCTTTATCTAAAAATTTATGTCATAACGTTTTTGCATCATGACAAAGCATGATTCTTTAGCCACACAAAAACCCAAGACCATTTATGCCACAACGTCCCTACAACACACGAGCGTGATAGCTGGTGACAATAACAAAATGATCTTATACCACAGTGTAACACAAATGAGTTGCAACATAATCATCATCTAATGAAACGCATTGCTTCATCGAAAAAACTAATATTTTTATGGTTTTGATGAGCCCGTCATCTCCAACTACCAAGGAACATCTAGGGGATAGGGAAGAAGCCATGGATGAGGTGAAGCCTAGGTTTCATAAGAGATTAATAATTTTCGTCTAAAGTCAGTTTGATTAGACTTATTTTTACCTATTAGTTATGCTTATGTTTGAATTTCTATTTAATGTTTAGCCACCATTAAATATAATTTTGAGTGTTGGATTTTTTTCTTAACAAAGGAGAATCTCATTGAGACTATTAAATTAAGTAATATGAATTTAGATTTTTATCTAATTTATAATTAGGATAGACATATACCTAATTGTCCCAAATTAATAGGTTGTTCTTTACACTAGTAGTTGTTGGATTAAGAATCTCATTGCATTTTATTAAATTCATTTTTTTATTTTTACTCAATCAAATCCAATTTGTTTTGCTTAACATAAAAGAAAATGAGAACTCTTTCACCTAGTCATTATTTTGTTTGATTCTTCATAAGAATGACTTTGAAACGCTAATATATTGTATATTGATTCACACACTTATGTTGTAACAATTTGTGTGCAACAATAACTACTGATCTATCCATTTTTATGTAAAAGTAACTTATAAAATGGATTATCAATAGTTTTTAAAAATAGCTTTTATATATAAGACGGGAGGGAGTGCATCTTTTATATTATTTACATGCATATTGAGAAATACAAGGCAAAAGTATACATTTGGTCATTCAATTTTACATAAAATTTTACTTTAATTTGTTAATTTTTGAAAGTCTTTTTTCAATTTTCTAAGCCTAACACTGTTAGTTTTGATTGAAAAAAAAATATTAACATTAGACTTTTGAATGTTAACAAAACATTATCAATTATTGACATATTAAATTTATTGTTTAAAAAATATAATAATTGATGCAAAAAATCATCATTTAAATTATCATAGTGTATAGATATAAGAGTTAATAAGCATTCAAGACTCTAAACTATTGTGCGTAAATAGCATCTTAGATTTTGAACTCCTAAAATGTACAAAAATTCTTCTCAACTTTAGAATTCTAAACACCTAAAACCTCATCATTTAGTTGTAGAAAGCAGCAACTTTTGTAGTTATGGGACCCAATTGAATGTTGACGTGGCACTTATTTTGACCTTTAAAAATAATAGGCATTTTTTCTAATTTAATAATGGGGTTTCAGACGCTCAGAATTTAAAAATTGAGGAGAGTTTTTGTACATTTCAAAGGTTTACTATTCCTGCACTAGTTTAGGATTTGAGATATTCATTAACCCTATATATGACAACCTAAGTCGGCCTAAACTACACAATTAATTTAGACATATTTTTTTGGGGGTACAATTTAGACTTGTTTATTTATTTCTTTGGTAGAAACTTAAATAATTGCATC